AAACAATTCAATTTACAATTGTGGCAACAAAAATACCTAGAAATAAACTTAACGATGAAGGTAACTGAAAAATTATAAGACATTGAAGAAAGGAATTAAGAAGATACAAGTAAGTGGAATCATATGCCATGCTCATGGATAGAAATAACATCATTAAAACATCCACACTACCCAAAGCAATCTATAAATTCAACACAATTCCTATCAAGATACCAATGGTGTATTTCACAGAACTAGAACAAATATTCCAAAAATTTATATGGAACCACAAAAGACTCCAAATAACCCTAATAAGGCCATAGTAATCAAAACAGCATGATACTGGCATAAAAACAGACATATAGGTCAACGGAACAGAATGGAGAGGCCAGAAATAAACCCACACCTTTATGGTCAATTAATATTTGACAAAGGAAGGAAGAACATACAATGGGGTAAAGACAGTCTATTCAAGAAATGGTCTAGGGAAAACTGGACAGATACGTGCAACAAAATGAAACCAGACCAGCTTCTTACACCATACACAGGAATAAACTAAAATGGATTAAAGACTCAAATGTAAGACTTGAAACCATAAACATCCTAGAAGAAAACATAAGCAGTAAAATCTCGAACATTTCTTGTAGCAACATTTTTTCTAGTGTATCTCCTCAGGAAAGGGAAACAAAAGAAAAAATAAACAAATGGGACTATATCAAACTAAGAAGTTTTTGCACAGCAAAGAGAATCATGATCAGAATGAAAAGACAACGCATTGAATAGGAGAACATTTTTGCCGATACATCTGATAAGGGGTTAATATCCAAAATTTATAAATAACTGAACACCAAAAAAAACAAACAATCTAATTAAAAAATGGGCAGAGGACCTGAATAGACACTTCTCCAAAGAGGACATAGAGACTGCCATCAGACATACGAAAAGATGCTCAACATCGCTAACCATTAGAGAAATGTAAATTAAAAACCACAATGATATATCACCTCACACCTGTCAGAATGGCTGCCATCAATAAATCAACAAACGACATGTGCTGGCGAGGGTGTGGAGAAAGGGGAACCCTAGTGCACTGCTGGTGGGAATGCAGACTGGGGCAGCCACTGTGGAAAGCAGTGTGGAGTTGCCTCAAAAAATTAAAAATGGAACTGCCACTTCTGGGAATGTACCTAAAGAAACCTGAAACACTATTTTGAAAGAGTATACACACCCCTTTGTTCTTGCAGTGTTATTTACAATAGTCAAGATTTGTAAGCAGCCCACGTACCCATTGGTAGATGAGTGGATAAAAAAGCTGTGGGACATTTACACCATGGAATACAACTTGGCCAAAAAAAGAAGAAAATCTTACCCTTTGTGACAGCATGGATTTACTTGGAGAGTATTATGCTAAGTGAAACAGCCAGTCAGAGAAAGACAAATACCACATGATTTCACTCATATGTGGAATCTAATGAACAAAATGAACTAATAGAAGAGAAATAGATTCACAGAGACAGAGAACAGATTGACAGCTGACAGAGTAGAGGGGATTTGGAAGGTTGAGTGAAAAAGGTGAAGGAATTTAGAAAAACAAACTCAGTTTGGTGATTACCAGAGGGAAAGAAGGGGAAGGCAGAAGAGGGTAAAGGGGGAATAAATGGTGATAGAAGGAGACTTGACGTTGGGGGGGTGAACACAAAATACAATATACAGATGATGTATTATAGAATTGTACACTTAAAACCTATATAATTTTATTAACCAATGTCACCCCAATAAATTAAATTTAAAATGGAAAGAAAAAAAAGATCACCATCTCTCTCAAAGCAAGCTGATGTAATTTAAAACACAATTTTTAGCAAGATTTGGAATGCTTTTGCCTCACTTTCTAATTATCAAGCGTGCCAGATTGGTATTTTTCCTATATTCAGATAAATAGAAATGTGTGTTAATATTTCTGTAATAGTTTAATTTGTTAATTGACCCTTAAGGTACTTTGTTTATCTGAGTACACAGATTAGCAGGCCTCTCTTTTTAGAAAAATAAAAATTTTTTCTAAAAAGAAATGTTAAATATTCCTGGTTACACTACAGGTTTAGAAATAAAATGTGGAATATAACTGAGCCAGGATTGTGCATTTCTCTCCCCTCCCCTGAGGTGCTCCATGGGAATAAGCACTCAGGGAGGTGCATTAAAATAGTGAGTCTCCTTGTGGCTAACAGCAAGTGAGCATTCTAGGTCCCTAATTTTTTTATCAGAGTGACTTACACTTTGGGGAAATTCTCTATCATTAACCTAAAACTAAGGTTACATCAATGGATTTTTAAAAGAGTACACTGTAAAAAAGATCACATGCAAACATTTTAATAAAAGTTAGTTATACCAACCAAGGCTATCAAATATTAGTCTTATAATAATCAACACCAGCTACTGGGTAAGTCTTTGTTTGATTAAACTGACTTGACAACACTGTTTACTTCCATCAGTCCAGCCCAGAGTGGGTACCTAAGGAAAAGGCTAGAAAATGTCTCCAGGAATCAGGATTGTATAGAAGTTTTAATCACATGACCTTGGCTTCCTTATTAATCTCTGGTACTTCAAAAAATATATAACCTGTGATATAATACTTTTTTATCCAAAAGGTTGACCCACATTTAATTAAAGATTTAAGAAATACAAACAATGCCAATTATACAAGCATGTCACAGAAAATAACATATCTTACTATATTAAAAAAAAAAATCTTGTCCTTTAAAAACTCAAAGGTAACATCCTTTCTAGTAGCTAAGGCTATGTATGACCCAGTATAAATCATTTTTATACAACTATTATAGTAATGAAGCAGTTATACATAAACATGTAAACATTTTAAAATTGTACTGTCTTTGAAATGTAAGTACAAGTCAACTCCATCTACATTATAGTTTAAGACCAATAGAACACTGAAGACAACTACCAGGACATAAATGGTCATCAGTTTAATTATTGTTCAATAATTCACTCTAATAAAAACAATGCATCTTGATAAATTCTGACGTACAGGAACAGCCATTTTTCCTGCCAAAGCCCTTCTCATCTTGTTCCTGGCACAGCGTCTATCTGGTTAGTTGTTTCTCATTCATGGAAACACAGGTGATTACATTCAAATGGCATTTAACACAATTTGTACCAAACTGCCCTATAATTTCATTTTGTATTAATTAATTAACTTCTTGGTAGGTGGTTGAGGCGAACATCAGCCTAAAGAGGTATTTCACTCTTCAACCTACCATACATGAACTGTCTCTAACAGGGGATCTTCCATTTTTAATAAAGAGTACCAGGTAAATACATTTTGTAGAACTCTAACAGGTAAAGATAAAGCATTTATAATAAGTGGATTTAGTTTTTGACATATATGCACGTCCATTTAAAAGAAGTCAGGGGCCTGGCTGGAGTGGCTCGGCAGGTTGAGCATCGGCCTGTGGTGCAGGAGATTGTGGTTCGGTTCCCGGTCAGGGCACAGGCCCGGGTAGCGGGCTCGCTCCCCAGTGGGGGGCGTGCAGGAGGCAGCCGATGGAGACACTCTCTCATCATTGATGATTCTATCTCCTGCTCCCTCTCCCCTCCTTTCTGAAATCAATAAAGACATACAAAAACCCCCCCAAACACATGTCCAGGGGCACTGCAGACAGTTGAGGACTTAATAAAACTCACCAGGAGTACGCATGCCTGATATTTTGAAAGACTGTTTACCTTAGGAGGTGTGTGTTTATAATAACAAAATGTCGTCTTTGTCCTGTGTATAAAAGTCCCACTTTGTAGCAATTAAAAATAATACTATCTTAATGCTGTTATAAGTAATTTATATCCCAGAGCTTGAAATGTAAATGTAATTTTCTAAGATATTATCTTCAGATCATCAGAATTATCATATCATAAAACATCTATTTTATTATGTTTCTCCAATTATATTATCAAGATATGACAGCTAACTCTTTGTTTGAAGTTTATAGCCTTCATATACCAAGAAACAAATTAAAAAGACAAACAAGGAATGTGAAAAGCCATCTCATAAAAAGCTGAAATGTCTTTTATTACATGGCATATTTTTCTCTGTCGTAAACTTCCGGTGTAGGAAATGAGAAAACAAATACTTCTTTTGACAAACTCCTTAACAAAGTGTTTAACTCAGTATTTTTAGATTTTTTTTTTTTTTTTTTTACTGTGGAAGGGAGGGAGAGAGGGAAGGAAAAACGGGGAGAGGGAGAGAAGAGACCCAACTTTGTATTGTACCTTTTGGGGGAACTGAGCTAACATTTAATGAGAACAATGTCAAAGGAAGTGCAGCTGAAGACTTCACCCAATTTCAAAAGCTCTGTAACATACAGTAAAATGGGCCCCTAGAAACAGCCTGAATACTTTTGGCAGGGGAGGTAGTCCACGGTGAGGTTTCACCTAAATGGTTCCAGGAAGAAGAGCTTCAGCCTTGTTTCAAAGTGCCCCACTGAGGGAACAACTGCTAGGTAATTTCTCTATGAATAAATTATCTTTCTTGTATAACTTAGACCCTTCTTGATATACCATGCATAAGGAGAAATGACAAGAATATAATTTGGAAGTTTTAACACTGATTTGTTATAAGGAAGGCTTCAATTGAAAAAAAAAAAAGAATTCATAGATGCCAGCCTCAGAAACAATTTTGTCTATAGCATCTTCTAGCTCAATAATTTAAGGGCAATGACAGTCACAAATGCTGTCAAAACAGCAGTGAGCCCAGACAGTGTGGCTCAGTGGTTGAGCGCCAACCCATTAACCAGGTCGTCATGGTTGGATTCACAGTCAGAGCACATGCCGGGGTTTCGGCTCAATCCCCAGTACGGGGCATGCAGGAGGGAGTTGATCAATGATTCTCTCTCATCATTGAGGTTTCTATCTCTCTCTCCCTTCCTCTCTCTGAAATGAATAAAAATATTAAAAAAAAACAACAAAAACAAACAAAAAAAGCAATGAGGTTTAAAAAATAAAAATTCAAATAATAATATCCTTTAGATTTTTAATATGCTATTTACTAAATTGGTAATCACAACAGAAATTTACAAGAACCTTCTAGTTAGAAAAAACAAATTAATCCTACTTTCTTACTTAGGTTTTTATACATGTGATTGTGTCTAAATTCTATCAGACAAGCATATAGGGTTTCCTTCTCATCAAATACTATGTCTACCCTGATGTCGCCAGTCACAAGAGACCTTTTGTATCATTGCTCCCTGGAGTCCTAATTCTTACTAGAGTCCTGAGCAAACACAAAAGTAACCTGGCAGTTACATCATTCCATATAAATGAAAAAAGACTTTGCTATCTAAAAATAACGAAAGGCTCCATTTAAATTAATGTTATTTTTGTCAAGTGTTCATTTTACTTTGTAATAATGTAGTTCTGATCCAAATAGAGCTCTTACGGGTTTAAAAAAGATCTCTAGAGATTATATGCAGGGCAGTAATTTAATACTTATTTCTTGCAATGACATTTAAGGTTCACTGTGATTTGAGATTTTTAGTGCTGTTGCTGACACCTTATGGAAACTTTTATTTGGAAATTCTGATTAGATTCTGTTCAGCTCTTGTTTAAAAGAAGTATTATTATAAAAAATGAATTTTTTGTTCCTGTAAAATATTCAATCTCTTGCTATTTATTCCTCACTTGATTTCATAATTGTTTGGGTGACTGTGATTGGTTGCTATGGAAATTACCTCCTATGGAAATGATTTCGATGTCATTATTGTAAGAATATGACTTTTAATGAATAATATCAATAGCAGACATCAACCCTTACTAGAAAAGGAAATTTAATTAAAATTTTTAAAAGGGGATTAATTCTGAAAGTTATTATGATGGCCCACTTTTCTGATATCTTTTAATCGACCACCTGCTTTTAAAACAAGTATTAGATGAATTTTAAGGTGTTAATCAGCTACTCACTTCCCCAAATTCCAATATCACAGTGGAAATTAGCACCATGCATAGAAAAATGGAGTAAAGAATATTTCATCTACCTTTTCTCTAAACTAATAAATGTATGTTGCACTATGAGAGTTAATGTCTACAGGATTTCAGAGCTCATCAAGGAGAAAACTTTGACTAGCACATTACAAATTCCCTTTAAATATGAAGAACTTAATATCCCAAAATGTATCCAAGGAATTTAAAAGGTCAGTGAGTTAAATAGTTAGTTAAACAATAGATGAGAGCCAGTGAACCATTAGATGAGAATTCCAGCATGCTAAGAAGTTTTCTTGGGTGGATTCTATAATTTGTGGTTTGAATAAAACTTTTGAGAAATTCCATTAGTATTAAAATTCTCACAATGAGAATATGGCTCATATTTAACCATTTTAAATTACTAGACAGTCTCTCCCCAAAGAAATTTTAATGCTTTCTTCTGCCTAAGCTCTTGTTCACTGCCTGGTACTAATTTAGGAATAAATTAACCCTTCCAACAATTAGGATATTGTCTAGAGGGTGCCTCTTACACTCTGCTTGGGAAACCACTTATATTCTCAGAAATCAGAAGTAAAAGAGCAGTTCATTTCTTCATTATAATATATTTTTATACCTAATAGCTTATTATTGATTTAAATCACACTATCTTATTTATCTACATGATTTCATAATTCTGAAATCATAATATTACTCCACCTACAGTGCTTCTGAATCAAGCTTCACAGTTAAACATTTTGTTAATGTTTTCTGCATTACGGGTTTTTTATACTTGTGCCTGCAACCATGATCTAGGGTCTAAAATGTGTCTGATAGATTTCTGCCTTGGAGCTGGCACTGGCTTGGCTTCAAAATTGGTTTTAGTGTCTGTTTGCGCACCATCCGTAAAACTATTTTTCCTGGCAGGAAGAAGTTTTCGAGGAGCAGCCATTGGTTTCTGTAAGTGATGCACTAGGGTTGATAATTTGGTATCCAAAGAAGAGGACTGAGATACACTTGTTTTTTCCCGGTTGTCTTTAACCAATGCATCTGGGTTACTCTGTGTTTTTAAGCTGAATGGAACTTTATCAGGAGGAGGAAGGGGAGCCCGTCTCTTTTTCCTTTTTCCATCATGTAGCTGCTTGCTTGCAGAAGATACGATCTTTTTCTGGATGGCCACTTGATGGTCACCATCAAAGAGTGTGGCCCAAGGAGATGGTGAGGATTCTTCATGCTGACCAATAAGGAACTCTCCATTTGTCTCTTCAATTTTTTTTTGTATTATGTCAGTTAAACTTTCAAGTTTTAAAGGTGAATCAATGCCTGTAACAATTTTAATAAAAAAATGCATGGGAAAAAATTCAAAACAGTATACGTTTTAACTGAGTAAGTTATTTTCCAAACCAATATGCTATCTATAATAGTCATCAAAAACAGACTAGGATAGCAAGTGGTTTTTAAAAAATCATTTACTTGTAAAAATAACCATATCAGTAGGACCAAAAATAAGAAGATCATGCACTATTCACTGCACACACACACACACACACACACACACACACACACATACACTCGTGTGCGTACACACACGTATATGTATATGCTTAAATATATGTACTCCTAAGTAAATGAGTAAAGTCCAACTTACAAAGGAATAGTTAGATCAAATTTTTTTTCAATTACTTTCCTGGATTTAAAAATCTATTTTGACTTCTATTCTGACAATGGATTCCATGTTTATAAAAGCCTGATATGTAAACTGGGACAAACACAATGGATTCTTTCCTGTAGACCACCAGAGTCTCTTTAATAGGGTAAAAATCCAAAACCAGAAACCCAGAGAAATAGAGAGAAGCCCTGATACCATTTTGGTGATAAGAATATAGGGTAAAACTTTCCTTGGTAAAAACGAGAGAACAGAGATAAATGTCTATTAAGTGAATCACTGGTATTTTCAAATGTGCAAACTCAAATGTATCATTTTTAATCTAACATTTTGAAGTATATGTGAGTGCAGGGACATTGGGGCAAAATAGACTAGAACTTGGTCTTGACTTGTGCTTACGCAGAACACTGTTCACTGAGGCAATCCTACAAAGATAACCACCCCTTCAAAGTATGAGAAAATGAAATATTAAAGAGTCTACAATTTTTAAATTTTCCAAAGCATTAAACTTCATCATTTTTTTTGGCCTGAGGTGAAAGCTTCCACTTATTAATATTCATTTATCAACACTACTTTTAAACAAATTTAATACAAAAAAATTACTGCACATGGTTGTATTTTACAATGTGCAACTTTACATTTTCAGAATTTTTATCAGCCACTCAGCTAATATTTATTTTAGTGCACTCTTATTCATTTTGAAGCCTTAACATTTTTGTTTGTTAAGCATTCAAACTACGAAAATGTGTATTCATTAATTTTGTATTAATTCATCTATTAAACATGAGTTCCTTAGTCTATAATCATAGTCTTTTTTCATTCATTTTCACTGTGCCCAGAAAATTTTAGCATTTTAATGTTAACAGAATAAGCTCCTTGTGTGTGGACAATGTTGTTTTTGTTATCCTGCAGCTTAGAAAAGACAAACCCCACTTACTCATATCATGGTAGACTGAGGTCGCCTCTTTTGTCAAGAACAAAGGTGGTTGCCGTGGTGACATAATCTCAATTTTCATAAGTTCTTCACAACAATGCTTCCATTGGCCTAAGAAAGACAGGAAAAAGGCAGGCTAGTTTAAAACATAAATGTGAAGTAGTATATTTCATTTTCAATAGATATCAACATATTTTTGCTTTGAAAAATAACAGTGAATTCATAAAGCATTACCTTAAGAAAGCCACAAAAATACAGTACTACCCATAATTTTAAAGTCCAAGTCTAGGCATAAAAGTAACCGATTTTAAAAATAAAGTTCTATGCACAGATGTTAAGCTAAGATCTCTAGGCTATTAAATACTATACTACTTCACTAAATGGTCAATAACTAAAATTTCTGTTTATGGAAAAAATTTGTACAATTTCTCTTCTTTTAAATATTAAGCTAAAATTCCAGTATTTACGACAATTGAAAGGTTAAAAATCAAATGAAATATAGTTACCTAGGAGGAAGTAGAAAAAGAAGTAAGGGGTAGAGTTCACAAAAATGATTTTAACTTTGAAAAGTCTAATTAAGAAATAAAAATTGGTTATTTAACAATTATCTCTTGATGATTACTGTGCTTTTAAAAAAATCGTGCAACTCTAGAAAAACAATTAATTTTCACTTAAGTAAAAGATATACAAAAGCCTATTACTATAAAGACAGAACACTTAAAATTCTAATAGAATCAAATTTATTTTAAGAACACTTTAAATAAAGCCATTAAGCATTCAGAATAAAAAAATACTCTTGAATAAGTTGTTTTAATTGTTAAGTTAAACTTTAGAAGTGTGAACAACATTAATTTTTCTTTTAATTATGTTTTAATATTTTCATCTTAAATAAAATTCTCAGATTTCTTTCTTCTGAATGGATATAAAAAAGCTTATGCTTTCCACGTTTATTGTGCACCTGCATGCTGGGTAACAACTGTGTGAGAAACTATGTGTCTATATAGCCGTATTATAAAAGTTTAAGTTATTGAGGTTCACCATTCTTAAATTCTTACATCAGTAGAAAAGTAAATGTAATACACATGTGCCTTTTTAGACTGATTTATGATCTGTATTTCTTTTCTTTTCATTATATTCTCAATCTCCATATTCAATATCCAACTTAGTTGTTTTCCATGGCTTAAAAATTAAAGACATTTCCTGTTTAGTCAAATTAGCTATTCATTTTTGTTGTTTTAAGTCTGTCATAGCAATATGGTAATATATGCATACATTTTAAATCCATCACCTTAAATAGTTAAGCAACATAAAAACCTTTCAGTATGTTTTATTACACTGCTAAATACAGAATATCATAAAAATTTCAAAATAAGCCACATAGCAACTCATAAAGGGAATAAACTCTTGAGTTTGAGGCTTCAAAGGTTGCCCTGCAGAATTTAAATCTAATAGGATCTGAGATCTGATAACTTATTCCTCCCCTCCACTTCCTTTTTTAGATAAATATATAAAAGCCAGCTTTTCCTTCTTGAGGGCAGAAAAAAAGGCCATATCTAATGGAAAAATAATGAAACACTTTAAACTAGCAAATATTTCTCTGTCAAACCTTACACAAATTATAAAGTGCAGTATTTTCTCTATATTGATAGATGAAAGCTTTTGATGGTTAAACTGGTAGCAGAATACTAATCATGCTGAAAATTGGAATATAAAGCCACATTATCCCATGTGTTACTGAAGTCTGAGGTACAAAAAGGTGGTATGTTCACTGGTCAAGGCTTTACAGCTGAAACATTTTACCAGTGAATAAATTAGTATGCTCAGTTACACATGCTGCCAATACGCTCACATAAAAATAAAGACCCAGTATAAAATATTAAATGAATGTTTCATTCACATAAAGGCTGTATATTGAAGATGTTTACCACAATATTTATTGTTATAATATTCCCAGTAAAAATAATTTGTTATGCTAAGCTGCTTATGTAGCTCAATATTTATATTATTAAATATTTGAGGAAAAAATTTTAAAAAATATATATATCTTTATTGATTTCAGAGAGAGGAAGGGAGAGGGAGAGAGAGAGAGAGAAACATCAATGATGAGAAAGTCACTGATCGGCTTCCTCCCGCGTGCCCCCAACTGGGGATAGAGCCCGCAACCCAGGCATGTGTCCTGACCAGGAACTGAACCACGATCTCTTGGCTCATAAATCGATGCTCAACCGCTGAACCACAACTGGCTGGGCGAGAAAAATTTATTTTTGACCCACCATTCCTAGCTCTACCCATTTTGATCATCTAAGACAAGTGGCATTCCTCTTTTACCTGTTTGTTAGCTCTCAAATATTAAAAATTAACTATTACACATAATAGCTATGTATGGTACCAGGTGGGTACTGGAAATATCAGGGGAAGCACTTGAAGTGTATGATTGTCTGACCACTGTGCTATACACCTGAAACTAATACAAAATAATATTGAATGTAAATGGTAATTTTTTAAAAGATTAAAATAATTATATGGGAAAAGAATTTAACATTAACTGTTACATCCCCTTTGCCTCCCAACCTCCACTCTTCAGTGTTCTACAGAACTAATTACATTAATGTTCTCATCATCTCTAGTTATCTCACACTTCTGATTTTCTACTCTTAAACTGAGTCAAATATTTGAAATTTGCTCTAAATGTTAAATTATTCTTATTTTATCTTATTACTGGATATCTATCTTCTACTTTGTTCTACACGTCATTATTTCACCTACAATCACAAGAGGCTACCCTATTACTAGGAAGGTAAAAACTTTAAAGTGCAAGTCAATCTTTAGGATTGTATAAATGCTTCCATCTTTGCTTCGTATCTCCATACACAATAAATTCTAAAGTACAAATGTAATAGAATTTATGCTACTTTTCGTGAAGTTGACATCCAGACTATAATACCCTGGCATTTTTACTTCCTTTTACCCTTTCTTCCTCTTTTTATGTACATAAAATACTAGAATCATTTATAAAAATCATAGTGTTTTGTAAGTCAGATTCTCTAAATCAGAGCATGTAGGGAAGCAGTTAAAATTTTAGCTGCTTCACAAACAAAAGGAAGTTGTTGTCTTTTAGGCAACACACCTATGATCAGCCGAAATTTAAAAAAAAAGAACTGTAGAGCATGTTGATAAGCATGGAACAAATATTTAAACATCTGCTGAATGCTCAGGGATAGTACTTAAGGAAAAACAAGTCCTAAAGAATCCAAGAAGCCCACGGAGGGAGTCCTCCCTCTGGTTCCCTGTAGCAAACTAGAAACCTCTTCAGGACTCAATTTTCTCATCTTTAGAGCAGAGGGAAATAATTTCTACATCACTGGGATGTTATGAGAAATAAATGAAGCCATATGGTACGTGGAAGGTAATCAAATTTAGTTCCCTTTTTTGCCTCCCGCCCCAACCATCACTATAATACTGGACCAGGCCATGGATCAGAGTAGGCTAATAAAACTTAATCTAAGGACTGCAGATATTAACTCTTTTATAGAGTTTCCCAAAACAGCCTGTAAGAAGTCCTAAAATCCCTCTAGGGATGATTTCTAGGAGTTGCAGAAGTAACTACTATTGTTTGCAAATAGCTCTGCTTCGTAATTCTATAGAAAAGCATTGTAAAGACACAAAATACTGGTTGAATCTACAGCAGACTTAATTTGATTAGAAATAGCCATTATCAACAGTCTACATTTTCAATATACAATTTCAATATTTTCCCATTGATAAAATTCCTCTTTAAATTGAGACTATTAGGGCCTCATATATTTTATATACTATCACGCTGTTTTATAATCCATGCCACTGGACTATATTATTGAAACTGAAAAACAATATGTATGGTTTTTAAAAAAATCTCTTTGGATGATGTCCCAGATGATACTATAACAAATCTGGAGTTAACAGAAGGTTACAGGAAAATGAGTCTCTTTCTGAATATTTCAATATTTTAGGATCATTATTATCTAAGAGAAGCTTTTTATTCCTCAAATAGCTTCTTATCAACAACATGGATGGATCTTGAGAATATCATCCTAAGTGAAGTAAGGCAGACAGAAAAAGTTAAGAACCACATTGATTTCACTAATCTGTGGGATATAAAATTGAAAGCAAAAAATGCAGCCTGGCCGGGTGGAGGGCTCAATTCCGGTCAGGGCACATACTTGGGTTACGGATTCGATCTCTGATCAGTGTGCATATGGGAGGCAGCTGATCAATGCTGCTTTCTCTCTCTCTAGAGCACGCTCTCTCTCTCTATTCCTTCTTCACTCTAGAATCAATTAAAAAAAACTATATTGAAAAATGTGTTTAAAAAAAGAAAACAAAAAATGAACCAACCAAAAACCAAAAATTCATATACACAGAAACAGTAAGTTGGTTACCAGAGGGAAGGGGGATGGGAGGGTAGTATAGGGTAAAGGGAGCCAAATATATGGTGATGGTAGAAGATCGGACTTTGGGTGGTGGGCACACAATGCAATATACAGATGATGTATCAGAACTGTACACTTGAAGCCTATATAATTTTATTAATCAATGTCACCCCAATAAATTCAACTTAAACAGAATATGTATTTGCAAAGAAGTATCTCTTCAATGAAAATCATCTAGTTCCCACTTTCTAAAATATGAAATTATCTTAACATGAAAAAAAGTCATAGACTGTCTTCAATCCATAATGTGACTTCATTTTTGTAAGAAACTACTTAAAATCATAGTTTGTATTTATCAAGTTGATTTTTGAATATTTTAACAATTAAAATGTCATAGACTTTTTATAAAAAGTAAGAGGTAGGGATACCAGAAATTCAAAGGTACACTATACTCTACTATAGTCAGTCAGGCACTGCGGAAAGGTTAAGAGCAAAAAGCATCATCGCATTGGTGACATATTACCATTTTATTCAAGAGCATAAAAATTTCTTGGTACAAACTATAAGATTATAATATGTATAATTTTAATATTTAGATTGCTGAGTATATCCTTTCAGGATACATGAATATACTACTAGAAAATCCAAACATCAACTTACTAAGATCAAAGAAATGCTGCCAGAAGGCTTCCATCCACTTCTGAAGATCTTCTCTATTGTCAGCTGCAAAAATATGACTTACAGCCTGTCCTGCAACAGGGTTGATGATAGAGAAATTATGGATTCTTTTCTTGGCATTTTTATCCATTGCTCGAATTCTGGTCTCCTAAAAATTAAGACAAAATTGGTGTTTTACAAGAGAATATTTTTGTAATGGTCAAATAAATGTTTTATTGCTTAACTACCGTATTTATACCAGATGCAATTATAATCTTACTGCCGATCATTTAAAATTTTAAATATGTAAATCTGAGAATTTTCAATATTCAAACTCAAATCTAGAGGGTTTATAAAACATGCTTTATGTGAAAAGTACTGAGTAATGTTTCAGAGTATGTTACAGATAGCACTTATGTTAAATTACATGAGCTTAAAACAGAACCTGTTTTGATCTCTCAGCTTAAGTAGGAGTTTGCTGTCTTTTATATACATCTTAAAATTTGCTATGAAACAAGTACAGCATGTCACAACTGAAATGTGAATTATGTTAACTATATTTTCAACAGTAATAAAACAGAATCAGTAATGTATGTTTCTTATTCTAATACTCATGCATAATATACAGTGTTATCAGTTAAAGCAATAAAACCATGACTTAGTGTTTACTGCAGCAAAACAGTTAGGTTTTCCTCATTAACATTTATCCCAAAGATCCATAAAGTAATTTCATCCTCATAATGGTAAAAATTATGTTTTCAAATGTTGAATGCAAGTCTCTAGAACAAAAGCAAGGGTTTCATTCATGCTGACAGTCTAAACCGTTTTTCTGAGTGGTACTAAGTATGACATTGTGGTGATGCTTTTTACGTTTACATGTAGAAGAGACAAGTGTATTCCCAAGTCACACACAGGCACTGCCACGCCACATGACAAGCTCTCAACTGCATGTAGTTTCCAAGGAATCTTAGTGGAAAAAGTCTGGAAGAGAACTACCTATTATGCAGACAGGGGTTTAGCTGCCTGAATAAGGATTGTTATTACATTATTCCAGAGCATGTCCATTAGAAATATAATGTGAGCCACAGATGTAATTTAAGATTTTCTAGTAATCACATTTAATAAGATAAAGCTGGTGAAAATAATTATGTAATAATTATTACACCATTTTAAAACCATACCTTTTATGTACCCCAACATATCCAGAATACTAACATATAATGGATAAAAACCTTTCGAGATTTTCACATCCTTTTTGCACACTAAGTATCCAAACTCTAGTCTGTCCACAGGACATCTCAGTTCGGACCAGCCACGCTTGAAGAGCCTGGCAGCCACTGCCGGCTGGTGGTTGCTATGCTGGGTAGAACAGTTTTGGAGGAGTATAGCTAAGCCTACCGGACTGTGTGCAGAAGAATATTTGGCTGGCAGTTGTAAAAGCCGGTTAAGAATGGGAAGAAATTCTTCACTCTGTTGAGTATAGAGTGAAGAGAGGCTGTGCAGTCACACACCAAACCCAACATACTCATATAATAATGTCTATGTGGGTATTACTGAAGAAGCAGAGTTAGGGGAAAAAAATCTATCCATTCCATGAAAAATGGGTATATACACGCAGGTGGACACCATATACTACATAAGTTCTTTTCTGAAGGAATTCTTATTCAAAATTCACAAGAGGAAAAATGTATGCTGTATAAAAAGTAGTAACATAACTTTGAAACTTTGGAGTATCACAAAATATCACTTTAAAAATATAGGAATGTGAGTTCAGAGAATTGTAATGGACTTATGGCCAGCATTTTAATTTTATCATAATCAGGTCTTTTTACATTCCTACACATTGGTCATAAACTTCATGAATTAACTCTTTTAAGTAATTATTTATAAATATTTAAAAATGCTGTCCCAAATGGCATCCTTGGAGTCTGGAAATGCATGTAACCAAGCTCTTTAAGTGTAAAGCTTATTATCACTAGAAGAGAATGACTTGGCTCTGGGAAGAATCTTTGGTATGCTTCTCTATCAGGTTAACTAAATGCTGACTCAGTGAAGGGTAATGAGGAGCCCTTTATTGTTGTATTTTTAAAAATCCAAACAATGAAATATGAAGTATTCTTGTTGCTGAAATTGTGCTTCCCTCCACCCAAATCCATTTTAATACAAATTTCTGACTACCTTTTGTATATAGACTTAAAATAGATTAAACTTTTAAGTAAAAGTGTAATTTTTTAAATAGGTGAATATGTATATTTTTAAATAATACCAAGGTATCCTTTCAAATGAAAATAGCTAAGTAGCAAATCTGATGAACTGAATCATTTATATCCTTCTAAGAGAATATAACACAATAATATATAAATACTATACACACTCCATTAACCCTGGTAACAATAAATACTACTAAATTTTTTTTTAAACATGAGAGGATTTTAGAAGGTGCAAATGAAACACTAAATAGATCATTTGAATTAACTTCTGTATTTTATCACCCAAAAAAATTTAACTAATGGGAAAATTTTAAATAAAAAAACTGCATGTTAAAAAAAAAAAAAAAAAGTGATTAAACAAACTTTCTGATGCCAGAAAGTTCATGCAAGCTATTTTTCAGTGTGGGGAAAGTATCTGTAACAGTGTTTAGGAATTCACTTCTCAAACAAGAAATAGATCAGAAAACAGAAGGTGACTTTTAGGATTGTTATCATTATGTGCTCACACAATGCAAAGATACTGGAAGTTGGGTAGTTCTGCCTCTACTATTTATACCACCTAAAATATTGCCTGGTAGCTGCTAAGTGATTGAAAAATATTTAGTGAATAAAATAATGAGAAAGAAAAAGAACAACCCAGATAATGATAAAAAGTTTTACATCGATAGACTCAGATCCCAGAGATAATCTCTAATTCAGCTCTTTAATTTATAGATGTTCTATCTAAGGTCAGAGTTTCTTGTCTTGCTTTTGATAATCCCAAACCTTCTAGTTGACCTGGGAGGCTTTATAGTCAACTTTTAATGATTTGTGGTTAGATTTGAGATTATTCATTTTAATCCTTGCTGGTTCAACTTTTGTCAACCAGCACATACTGAACTGCAGCCTTCCACAGCAAACTGAAATCAATAAAGATATAATTTGAGAAACCAGCTTTTTAACAAAATATAATTTACCGAAGTCAAAGGGAAATTTCTTCTAGGTTGTTCATTATTTTGAATCAAGAGTGTACTTCAACTCTCCATTTCTGTGGTAATGGAAAATTACTAGATCAGGATAGGTCTATGAATTGTGTCTGACCTCACTTTTGACTACATGACTATAAAAAAATCTACTATGTACTCAGATTATGGTCTCTAAATACCCTTTCCCACTAAAAAGAATCAGAGCTCTTTAGAAAAATGGTTGATTCCCAGTCTGGGTCAGGAAATGTACAGGATGATCCTGAAATATTTCGTCCCACCAGAAATCAAAGATTACTAGCGTTTTATCAAATGGACCAACTTGAAGAGGCTTCCAGTAGCCAAAGATAGGACAATTTGAATATGAATAACAATGGAAATGGATTGTGTCACATGAAATGTCTTTAAATCCATCAATTCATAATGATATTTAAAAACTCATTAGTCACCTTTGAAGGATGCTAGGGAACCACTTCATTGTTTTGGTAACTAGGATATAAATGCAAAAAAAATTTTTTTAAATCAAGCCATTATCTTGCCTTTCCTATAAAAACTGTACCTCAATCAAATAGCTGATAAAGTAGAAGTATCTCTGCTAATAAATGAAGAAAAAAATTTTAAATGTCACCAGTTTGCAATCCCTAATGAAAAAAAAAGATGTCAGCAATGTTCAGCAGTGGATATTAATATGAATGGAAGGCCCAGACATATTATATGCCTCTGGATAAAAGTAAATAATATTTCCTAAGACATATTCTTATTAACCAACATAAATCTGATCCAAAAAAGAAGAAAAAAGACAACTCAAAGATGCAATAGCAAAATCCAGACTATAGAACACTCTGTAGGATAAGTGACCCAATTTCTCCAACAAATAAATTATGTGTGATTTTGTGTGTGTGAGAGAGAGAGAGAGGGAAGGAGAGAAGGAGAATGAAAGCCAACAAGATTAAGAGACTTAAGAGACCTAATCAATCAACTATCAACTGCAATATATGGCCCTTATTTGGATCCTGATTCAAACAACTGTTAAAAAAAAGTACAAGACTGAGAAATTTTAACACTGTCTGGATTTTTGATGATATGTTGACTATATATCTATACATTTTCAGAAGCATGACAATTGTAATATTTACAAATAAAATGATGCCGTCTTCAGGATTTCCTAAAAGTAATTCTATGGTGGGGGTAATGTGTGAGAGTACAGTGAGTTCAATTTATATTATCCTCTTTATAGATTATCTGGAAATTTAAAAAATCAATTTAAAAATAAAACACAAGTACTAAAAACTAAGTGCTCGCTTTCTTATCTATAATGCAAAGACAATATTATTTTACTCATACCTTTCTCACAAACATGTTCTAAAGATAAACAAGTTCTTTGAAAGGTGTTTGTTCTCAAGTCTCGTTGATCAGGGGGGAAGACAAAACGTTGCTGGCTAAAATCAAATTTAGACTTTATATATACTCTAATAACAAATAAAGCAAGGCTCACAACACATGACATGGAATGTCTGAAATATGTAAAGCATAACCATAAATTAAACCAAGCATTAGGCATAATTAGTACTAGTGTGATATAATTATTTTCCATTTATGTCAATGAAATCAGACATAAACTCCTACTAATGGGAAAGGCTGTTGCCTGGCCAGGCGTGGCTCAGCGGTTGAGCATCGACCTAGGATCCAGGAGATCGAGGTTCGATTCCTGGTCAGGGCACATGCCCAGGTTGTGGGCTTGATCCCCAGTTGGAGGCGTGCAGGAGGCAGCTGATCAATGACGACTCTCATCATTGATGTTTCTCTCTCTCTCTCTCTCTCTCTCCCCCTTCCTCTCTGAAATCAATAAAAGATATATTAAAAATAAAATCTTTAAAGGGAAAGGCTGCTGAAAAAAATCATGTTTTGCTGTATTTAATGAAGGTCAATATAAATAGTAGACAGGGTTCAGACATTAAGAGCACTAGCATAATTCAAAGAAAAGCCCATGTGCTTTA